TCAGAGATGAGTGGAACTGCAGCGCAACGACCAACCTCTGAAAGATGTGTGATGAGAGGTGGTAAGAGATAGTTTTATTAAACAGGTTGGCCAAGGTTCAGAAACACTGGTGTAGAGGTTAAGGCACCAGGCTGAAAACCAAAAGACTGTGAGTTCTAGTCCAGTCTTAGGCATGAAGCCAGCTGGGTGACCTTGGGCCAGTCCTTCTCAGCCATGGGAAGAAGACAAGGGCCAACCACTTCCAAAAATCTAGCCAAGAAAACCACAGGAACTTGTCGCCAGGAGTCAACACTTGCCTGAAGGAACCAAACCTCCCCCCGCCCCCGCGCCCGAATCATGGTTAAAACTAGCTCAGCTTCGCACACGGTGCTAGTGCAACCCTATGTCCCATCGAGGCAGCTGGAGAGAAACTTGATGCAAGATCAACCTGTGCATTTCATAACCTCCTGATATAATATCCAATATTCACCTTCAGAAACAAGATACAATAACGCTCTCCAGTCCAATCAAAGCCCGAGGGCGCGGAGCGAGCCGTTTTCCCAGATTGCAACTGCAACTCTTCTACCCAGGTTGCTAGCGTGGTCTTCTGCAACATCTGGAACCTGTTGAGATGCTAGCGTGGTCTGCAACATCTGGAACCTTGTTAAGATGCTAGCATGGTCTTCTGCAACATCTGGAACCTGCTGAGATGCTAAGCCCTTGAGTTTCCCAGCTTGATCCCTCCCCCTCCCCGAAAAGATGAAGTGTACTACAACTCCCATCACTCCAAGCCATGGAAGTGGATGAGAGTTGTGGTCCAACGCATCGGGAGACATTCGGTTGTAAAAAAAGAGTGTATGGGGGTTGTTGTTGTTTTTGCAAGTTGATTATTCCCGTTGTTTTGCACGCACCAACCACTGCAGATCTTGCTTTCTTCGCTGGTTCAGAAGCGTTCTTCTAAACGCGTGACCGTAACTGCAAAATGCGCCGGCCTGGCCCTTTAAAAAAAAAGGGAGGGGTCGTAACCACGGAGACAGAGGCGCCCTGGGTTTCAACGTCGTAACCACGGAGACAGAGGCGCCCTGGGTTTCAACGTCGTAACCACGGAGACAGAGGCGCCCTGGGTTTCAACGCCCTTCCCCTTTCGCGTCTGACGCCATCCGCGTGCGCCCAGCTCTGCGGAAGGCGGCAAACTACGTCAGCGCGAGCGCGACGGAGGAGCAACGGGCGAGCTCTGAGGATGTAAGTAGCGGAGAGGTGGTAATCCGTCGCCATCTGGTTTGGGGACAGCCGTGAGGGCGTCGAGAAGCGGTTCCCCGGGCCCCCGAGGGGCTTCTCAGCAGGGTCGTCCTTGTGGATGAGCGTGAGCCTGCCTCGGGAGCGCCGATGGCCTGGACGGAAAGGGGGGAGGGGAGGCTCCTCCGAATCTCGAGGATGGGGCGGTGTGCGGGTGGGTGACGTAAACCAAGCTGGCTCCGCCCCTTTCTGGTCTCCTCTTGCTCAGTACAAGATCCCGGGGGGCTGAAGGAGCTGCTCCCCTCTCTTTGGCGGGGGCAGGGATTGGGTTCCCCAATGGCCCATTGTCAGTCTTGAAAGTAATCTTTGCACCACTTACAAATGTTGCCCTCTAATGCTTTACGTTTGTAGCAGAATGGTTTGCTGCTGCTGCTGCTGTTGCAGCAGCAAAAAGAAATCTGATTTATCCAGTTTTTTGAAGCGGGGAGAGGCGATTCTGTGCCCCCCTCCATTATTTTTTTTTTTTTAGTGGAGTTGTGCACCCCTTCAGTCCAGCTGGACTCTGGGTGGTTCAACGCAGCACTAATAATACAAAGATATAAAATAATATATCAGTGTAATAAAACTCAGTCTTACATGGGTGGCTCTAGAATCAATTCCAAATGGCCCTCCAACTTTGCAGAAGGAGTGTCTGATAAGTAGCCTGGAACTCTGATGCTCACTCAGAATAAAATCACACAGAGGTGGTTCAAGTTTTGTAACCTGTATCTCTTTCATGGTTAAGGAGCTAAGGACAACACATTTAGCGATGGAGCTTGGTACGTGGGTTAAAATAAAGCTAGGATAGGGAGGGTAGCAGTGAGATAAAGGAAATGTTGGTATCTTGATATTTCTTTATTGTGCGGTAAGGTAACCTTGTTCCATCTCTTGAAAATATTGAAATGCAGGTTTGTTGAAATGCCAACAGGGTGCCACACCAAACTCCCCCGACTTACACTCTCCAGATGAGATGAGATGAGATGAGAGCTTGTAGCGTTCCACACTAACATATTTCAGTATCAAAATAGTCAAATGATCTCACAGTACCTGTTGCGGCCCCAATATATAAAAACAGAAGTACAAAGATTACAAATATTGGTCTTTCAGTAGTTCTCTCTGTTTCCCAAAGAGTGACTCCAGTCAGGTTTGCTGGAGATATGTTTGCACATACTTAAGAAATATATGCAAACGTAATTATCACCTGTACACCATGCTGTTCTTTGGGGAAAGGGAGTATATCTTAGCATGCTGTTATGCACTGTATACTGAAGGATCAGATTAAAGGCTTCTAAATAAGCTGTAGAAAAGTAATTGCATTCACAGTGGCTAAATTCATACATAGTGCACAGTTGTTTGTTTTACTGGGGTTTGTTGAACGACCCATAATGGCCTGGCTCACATATAAAGTTAAGCTCTAAACCATAGATCACATTTGCTGGATTATACTAACCTCAAATTCAAAGCAGGAGCCATGAGTCTAGGAGCCCCTCTCCCCAGAGTTTTAATTCATATTTAATGTTGTTCATATTTAATTTCATATTTCAAGATACAATTCTGAGAAACCTCTACACAGAAAAACCTATATGCTTTGTTTCCTTGGTATTAGAGGTCCTTAGAAGATATCCAAATAGCTTGTAGAACATACAATGTAGATCAGTGCTTCTCAATCTCAGCAACTCTAAACTGTATTGACTGGGGAATTCTGGGAGTTGAAGTCCACACAAGGTTAAAGTTGCTGAGATTGAGAAACACTGATATAGATTGTTCAGCCGGTGCAATTTTCAGCCAGGTAATTGGCTGTTATGGCCACCCAGTGCTTTAGTGACTACAGTGCTTTGCATGAATATTGCCTCAGTGTTGCCTGCCTTTCTTATCAAGTAGGGTTTTGTTTTCTTCTGCCTGTACGTTAATTGTTTCTCAATCCTTTTATCTTGTCACTAGGCTGCTCTTTGGAGCTTCTTGCACTCGCTTAGGGATCCGTTTCTCAGATTCAAGGAGTTAGAAGTAAGCTTTCAGATAAGTGAGGCCCCCACAGTGCTGCTTTGGGACTCGGAAGGGGAAAATGGAACTGTCAGGAATGAAAAAGAAGAGTTTGCTAGCCATCAAAGAAAATAATAAAAAGTCCAGCACTAGGTAACCACTGTCTGAATTTTCAAGGCCTACCTCCTCCTGGGGGTTGGGGGGAAGGAGGGGAGAGTCCTTTGCAGCCTATTAGGGCTATCCTGGGGAGCATGAGGAATTAGAAATGCTTCTCTTTGCTCCTTTCATAATTTCCATACATACCTCATGGCTCTGCCTTTCTTCCGTAGTGTGAATGTTGGGAATTCTCCGACATTCTCATCTTCTTGCTTGTGTTTGGCAACTGAAGTTAGAAAATAAAATTCTGGACTTTTTGTTAAAGGGCTCCCTCTCCGACCAAGCGCAAAGACCGGACTGAAGAAAAATCCAAGGATCGGTCCAAGGACAAACCAGCCACAAAGGAATCAAGTGAAAAGGACCGTGGGCGTGACAAAACCCGCAAAAGGCACAGCGCCTCCAGTGGCAGCAGTAGCACCAGGTGAACAGAATCCTAGGATTCCTGAAAAAGTGTAAATGCAGCGCTGCGATCTTTAGATGAAGCCCATCTTTGGTTCTCAGGAGCTAGAAACTCACTTCCTGAGGAGTTTTTGTGGGGAGGAGGGAGAGTTTCAGAGTTTATTTTAAAGCTTATCCCATAACCGTTAGGTATTTCCAAACACTGTGTCATGAGGATAGTGGCCAAGAAGGGGCTTGGGGGTAGCCCTTCCAGTCCTGGTCTTAGGCTGCCCGCTCTGGCTGTAAGGTGTTGACAGAAATAATTTTTAAAAAATTACTTCAGTTCCTCTTTCTTGATGGAGGAATGTGAAAGTGTGGGGGTTTACGAGGGCTACTTGCAAGTGTTCTACTTGCACAGATCGAGGGAGTTGCTTCTGCTCAGTTTTGGTGATACATCCTGCTGCTTCTCCATCAGGTCTCGGTCGAGTTCCACATCCAGTTCCGGGTCAAGCTCCAGCACTGGCTCCAGCAGTGGGTCCAGTTCCTCCTCTGCCTCAAGCCGTTCTGGGAGCTCCAGCACTTCTCGTAGCTCCAGCTCCAGCAGTTCCTCAGGCTCTCCAAGCCCTTCCCGCCGTAGGCACGACAATCGGAGACGGTCCCGTTCCAAGTGAGTGGGGGTTGCCCGGGGGAATGTTATACACTTGGGCTTGAACAATGTGCCTTAAAATCTTGGGAGTTAGGAACAGATAAGGACACTGCTTTAAATCATTGGTCCCCAAACTCTTCCGCTTATCGACCCCTTCATGAAGTTTCAGATTGTTCATCAACCCCCATACTACCTTAACTAATAGTACTACAAATAATAATAGCAATAACAACATTGACCTTGGATAGTCCTGTTGACCCTTGGGGGTCGATATTGACCCCTTTGGGGAACCCTGCCTTAAATCTTTGCTTGCTTAATTATTGAAAATATCCATTGATTATGTTTACCTGATAATTATACATGCTTATTATTAAAAGGCAAAAGCTTTCATGAGATGCGGCACATTTCATCAGATGCGTAAAGTGCCTAGACTGATGTAGGGTGTAAATTGGGGCGAGGTGAGGAAGAAAAGAAGGGGATGATAGCTTCGTTTATGCAGACGTAAATACAATGGTTCTTTATCACATTACAATTGTTAATTGATAAGGCACTTGTAATCAATCTCACATGAACCGGCAGCTGCGTAATTAACCTATCTACCCCCCTTCCTCCCATCTCACCCCATTTTAAATCCTACATCTGGCTGCTCTGCGTGGCTGACAAAGGGCGCTGCAGCTGGTGCCTTTTAGTATTTGTTAATCAGAAAAGGCTGCCAAACTACTGACTTTTTCCCCACCATAGATTTAACTCAACTCTCTTCCTATAATGTCTGAAGGTCCACCAAGTTCATTGAAACGTAGGCAATTCAGAAATGCCATTGTTTCATAGCATGCCCTTTAAACAACAGCCAGCAGCTGACTTTTGCTACAAGCTTGCTCATTAGAAAAACATTTCTCTGTTTTCTCCAGATCTAAACCGCCCAAGAGAGATGAAAAAGAACGGAAGAGGAGGAGCCCCTCACCCAAACCCACCAAAGTTCACGTTGGAAGGCTTACCAGAAATGTAACAAAGGTAACTAACCAGTCACTTAGTTGTGTTCCAGAAGAAGGAGGAAAACAAGACCCTGAAGGAGCAAAATTAAAGTCATAATACCTTTGAATGTTGGGGATTTACAAATTGTTTGTAAAGGAACTTTTGCTGGACTTATGAAAACATTGGTATGGTAACAGGAGGAATAACTCAGGGTTTGTATCTGATCAGCCTAATCCAGTGTTACCTGTTCTGACAGTGGTTCTCCATAGTTTAAGGGAGAGTTCTCCCTACCTCCCCTCCATATTTGTTCTCTGATGCTTTCAGGTATAGATCCAATAGTGAACCTAATTGGGGCCTAATTAAGCACAGTGTCTTGTAAACTCGTGCTTCTTTCACTGCTAGTATTTCTATACTATTTTTCCTGTAAAAATATTCTGGAATATATTTTAGCTAAACTAGAAAGCAAACCTGAAGCAGAAATCCCCTCTATAGATTTGGCTGATAATTCTTACATCTCAGTTAAAGGTGTAGCTGTCTCTTATTCAGTATTCTTTTAGGAAGACTAAATTAGGAGTATGTAGTGATTCTGGGGAATTCTTTTTTTTTCTTTAAGGATCACATAATGGAAATATTTTCTACTTATGGAAAGATCAAAATGATTGATATGCCAGCGGATAGACTGAACCCACACCTTTCCAGAGGTTATGCATATGTTGAGTTTGAGAATCCAGATGATGCTGAAAAGGCACTGAAACACATGGATGGAGGTAGGTGTCAGAAATTGGTAGAGTTCCAGATTGTGCACCAAACAATCTTGGTGGAATATTTGGGCGGGAGTCTCCTAGATTCATGGCTCCTGCTTGAAGAGCAGTGGCACCCATGGCTTAAACAACCTTTCCACAAGCCTCAGTCCACTTCTGATTGAGGGGTCCTGCTCATAGTCACTCATGTCTTGGTCACGTCTCATCTGGATTACTGCAACACACTCCACACAGGCCTGCCCTTGAAGACCATCTGGAAGTTATAGTTGGTCCAGAATCCAGCAATGTGAGTCATTGTGGGCACATCTCTGTATGCCAGTGTAACATCACTAGCAAAGTTGTACTGGTTGCGGGTCTAGAGCTGGCTGTCACCTACAAAGCCCTTCATGGCACAGGGTCTGGCTGTTTGCAGGGCCACCTGTCTCCAATTACCTCTGCCTGTCTGATAAGACGTAACAGGGTTGGCAAACTCCTGGTCTTGTCATTCAAGTAGCATCTTCTGGGGGAACCCAGGATATGTGCCTTCCCTGTCACTGGGCCTGCCCTATGGAATAGCATTCCCTCTAAGATCTGGATGGCTCCCAGACTGCCTGCTTTCTGAAAGGCTCTGAAGACCTGGCTCTTCCCCCAGGCACTGGGTTGGGAGGTCTTGTGAGCCTATTTTGATTTTCTGGTGGTTTGAATCGTCTCCAGCACAGTATGTTTCAAAGTATTTTATTCTGTTGATTGTTATTTGTTGCTGTTGCATATCGAGTGGGCGGCTATAAAAATTGCATCATGGATAAATACATCCACCCAAGCGTTTGCCATTGCTGGGTCCCTCCCCTTTAAGCAAGTAATTAGCCCAAGGATTTGAGGATGGAGTCTCTGTAACCCATCCAGACTGGATTCTCACTCAAAGTAAAAGAGGGTAGATCTTTCTGATATTAATGATTGACCAAAATTGGGGTGATTGATTGAAGAATCTAACATTACAGTCTCCAAGTAGTGGATCTGCTGGAGTATAACTGTTACAGCCTATGATGTGCAGAGGCTTATATGTTGGTAATAATTGTCATAGATTAAATTCTGTGTGGTTCCAAAAATCCTAGCTATCTCTGGTCTAAACTTTACAAGGATACGTCATTAGTGGTCGAGAAACTTTCATCTCATTGATGTGTCCTTCCTATGGACTTCATTTTAACCAAGAATCCATCCATTCCCAAGGCCCACTGCTGGCTTTTTCTCCCCCTCTGTGTCTGACCAAAGAACAGTTGCCGGCTGCCGTGTAGGTAGATGAAATTAGAAAATGTGCTTTCTTGAGAAGCTTGACTTTGATTTTCTTCTTCTGTGATACCAAACAGGGCAGATTGACGGGCAGGAGATTACTGCCACAGCTGTTTTAGCTCCTCGGCCAAGACCTCTTCCCAGGCGTTTCTCTCCTCCCAGAAGGATGTTGCTACCGCCCCCCATGTGGCGCCGTTCGCCACCACGCATGAGGAGAAGGTAGGCTGCCTTAAGAAGTGATGCAGGTGTCGGCCCTTTGATGCTTCTAGGTCAAGAAGCAGACACTGCAAGGATTTCAGGAATGCCACTTTATGGTCCTAGGGTGTAATGCCATCTTGAAAACCAGTCAGTTTCTTTCTGTCTCATCTTATACGAAACAAAATCAAGGTGGGTTTATTTTGAGTTTCTTTCTCATGCTGCCTTCAGCCTTCAGCCTCTGGACTCTAATCTCTTCTCCAAGTCCCTCCTTAATGTCTCTTGCGTTCCTTCCCCAAGGTCAGCTCTGAATACATTTACAGTAAGATCCAGGAGGTCCATTGTGATTAATCAGATAGGCATCTGTTTCTCTTGTGCTGATACATCTTAACTGAAGCAGTATTTTTGTGGCGTAAGCATATATCACTTGTCACAACAAGTTTGTTAAAGTTTTCAATTGTCAGTAGGATCCTTGAAACCCTTCCTTGGGGGCCATTATTGAGTGGACCTGCAGTCATCTAGGGAGATCCTTCTTGTAGGTTTTATTACAGAGGGGCAGCGGTCAGATTTCTCTTCCAAGGTCCTTCCAAGTGCACGCAAGAAGCTTGAGTTTCCTCTTCAGAGAAAGACAGACAATAAATGAATACCCTGTGAAAACAACTTTGAATTGTGCTGATTAAACAGCACTATCTACATGTAGCTTATCTTCAGCTGAAGCTTTTCCATCTAACTGTTCCCTTTCAGATCCAGGTCTCCCCGCCGCAGATCCCCAGTTCGCAGGCGATCCAGATCCAGATCTCCAGGCCGGAGGCGTCACCGCAGTAGATCCAGTTCCAACTCTTCTCGATAAAACACAGGACTCAGCAGCTTTGTTCTTTAAGTTAAAAGTGTACCCATTAAAATGGTATCTTTTTTTTAAAAAAAGAAAGGAATGAGAATAGAGCAAAGGGACAGTTGAGAAATTATAAAAAATAGCTAAGAATCTATTTACCAGTCCAAGAAAAATATGTTAAAAATCTTTACAAATCCAGGAAAATATGTTGCTTCTCAGACATGCCAAAATGGTTTGGACATATATTTCAATGTCAAAATGTCTTCGTCCCCTTTCACCTAGCCTGGTAAATTTTCATACCCCCACTTTGTTTCTGATCCTCCCGCCACCCCAAAATTATATTTTGGCTATTGCAGTGTTGGATATTGAGAGTCTGTGACACACTGAAAATACCCATTAAATTCTTGTTAGCGGTACAGAAAAGATCCCATATTATTATCTGTTGTTCACTGAACCCAACCCAATAACTCGGGTGAAGGGGACACTAATGGTAAGACCTTCTTTTGCCCAAAACAGATTATTCATTTGCCCAGTTCCTTCCAAGAATGCGGTAAATCTTTTGCTTTTTAGAAGATGTGCAAAACACATGAGCTGAAACATTTTTATTTTCCTGACCTCTCGGGTGGGGGGTGGGGGGGGCGGGGATTTTGTGACTGGAATAACCAAGGTTCAGTTTCTAAAAGGCCAGAGAATTCTCAGACTGTTGTACAGTCATTACTATAAAGTTTGATTTTTGTATAACTTGGTAGCATCTTGTAGTCATGTTGTGTTTGTACTTGTGTAGAATGACAAGATTAAATAAACCAATAAGGTTTACGGTGTGAATGAATTATTCCTCGTTGAGAATTGTGGTGGTCATCTTGGTCTGATATTTTAGCAAATAACCTTGCAATGAGTGCTCGGTACCACTAGCCAGGATCAGAAAGGCTGTTCAGAATGTCTAGGTTAGGCTTCCCCAACCTGGTGTCTTCTGGGTCAGTTAGGACTACAACTCACAGCTAAGATGAATTGTAGTCTCAGCACGTGTAGATGACACCATATTGGGGGAAGGGAAAATACTTAATGTATTTACTCCACAGGCAGTTTCTACATGCTTGGATCTTGCGGTCTTTGTTAATACATATGTGAAGGGGAGTTAATTCCAAATCTAAGGCTTGGATGGTAGCTATAGATGCAGTGTTGAGTAAATCCATGTATTGAGCAGAATTACTGTTGCGGTAATTTCAAAGGAGGTCCTGACTTCAAGATGTTCAGAGATAATCACACACATAGTGATATTAACTGATCGGCTTCTCAAAAAAGGTACATATCCAGATCTCTAAATTTGTGTTTCCTTTTTTTTATGAGACCTCCCCAAATCTGCTGTTCTGAGGATGTCCTAGAAATCAACTTCATTCTGTTACATGGTTAACAGATACACACACACACACTCCTACTTTATGGCTAGACCAGATCCAGATTACTGAAAAAGGTAGTAAAGTGATACAAACATTAAAAGTTAACATGAGTTTCAAACCCTCTCTTCACTAGCACCTCACGCAGCACCTTTAGAATCTCTTTTAAATTATTCTTGCATTAAAAAACGTTTTACCTAAAATACTCTTTTAACTTAAGCTATAGAGGACAGAGACTATAATCTTAGAAGCATTCCTCTTTTTCATCAACATGCAAACAGGCTATGTCAAGTAAAAGTAACATTTAACTTTATTTAAAATTACAGTTTATTTCGCCAATTGCTGATCTAACAAGTGTATATAATTCTTAACACAGCCGAATATGAAAGGCTGTATTTGCATGGGATATTTACCTGGGTTTGGTTTAATGCCCCAAATTTTCTGGGCTTGCATGACTTGCTAGGTTAAAAGGTAGTTAAGCCTGTTTACGATTCAGTATATCATGCAAAATCAACCCATGTTTTTAAAAACTTAGAGTTACACGGCACATTGTGCCCTTTATTGGGCCAAAGTGGTGAGGGACTGGGTGGTTCAGCCCCCATGCTGTGCAAATTCAGGCAGTCGTGTGCATGTAGTTAGCCATATAGCTGAGGGCAATGTATGGACTCTATTTAGTGTTCATTTATAGTAATCTGATAAATGACCTTAAAGGTCATTGTGAAAGTAAACAGCAAAGAAGATATTCACATATGTGCTGGTGCTCCAGATGAATTAGAATCAGGAATTGGCTAAAGGGAATTGGAAGCTGACAAGCTATATCTGTCTCCCTGAAGGGTGGGACTTGAATGTTTTCTGCTCCTTTTTGCAAACATGTCCTGAGTACAAGCTCATTTTGAACACTTGGTTAGGTAGGAGAATGCCATTAAGGCGCAATCCTCTGTTACTGTCTCTTTAAGACGGGGTGGGCGGAGGGAAGGAAGGCCTCGCGCGCCAGTTTCGACCCGTCGTGGACAGAGCTAACTTGTCAGACACGAGAGCGGTGATAGAGTTTGGAAAGGAAGCTAGAGTGGCGCTCAACTCAACTTCCTGTCAGAAGGGAACGGTGCCGTTGGTTGGCCCTAAGTCTCCAGGAAGCAAGTAGAGAGATAAAATCCTAGAGCGCCACCCGTTTTCTTCCGGAGGCGCGTTTGCGGGTTCAGGTCAGCGTCGTTAAGGAGGGCTAAGTGAGTGATAACCTAAATATATTTCCGTGGGAAATAAACCCCTTTGAACATAAATGAACGTATTCTGGCATATTATATCCGTAACTGCTAGGGCTACCTCGTGGCCGTGTTCAGACGCGCTAAACTTGAATTAGTAGAACGCCGTTGTGGGGTTCACACGTGACGTGCAGTGCCTAAACCTGTAAACCAGCTGGTTCGCACAAAACGCTAGAGCTGTGTCAGGTGGAGCCACAAACTAGCCAATCCAAATGGGGGAGGGGGAGAAACATAATAATAATAAAAATTAAACTTGCATGCCTTAAAACTTATAATGCTTTCCTTAAAGTTGTTCCCTTTATATATATCCCGCCATTTCCTTCAGAAAGCCCTAGTTGGTTCTTGTCCCATTTCTGTCTGCCACTAGTGTAATAGTAGTAGTAGTACTAGTACTAGTAGTAGTAATAATAATAACAATAACAATAATACCACCTTTAACCCCATCAAACAATATCTGCCTATCCAGGTCCGTGGGAGGGACTTGATAGGTGGATAAAAATGCCAAATGCGATCTAAACAATTGGTTGACTGTGCGACCAACGACAACAACAACAATAATACTTTTATTAAACGTGTATGCTGTCCAACTCTCATGTCCAAAGGGGTCTCGTTTGCCATGGATACAATCAATGGGTGCGCTATCCTTGTTATGGTCATGGCAGGGGTTCATATATTCACAGGGGTATCTGTCAACCCTTGACTGATAATGCTAAACTTCACCCATTTTGGGTGTGTGTGTGTGTGAAACAGCCAAAAAAGGGGATGGAAGTGATTCGGGTGTGAAACTCACTGGCAGGCAAGAAAGGAACAAGAGCCCCCAAGTTTGCACCTGTGATTTCTCCCATGTTTTTATCCTCACAACATACCTGTGAGGTAGTAGGTTAGGTTAGGATGAGAGTAAGGGTATCAGAGTGACAGGTCCAGTGTTATCCGATGGGAATTTTACCATTGAGTTGGGAGTTAAACATGGACTTCCTAGTCATGTTCTCTGACCTTTCTGTTCATTGCTGTATTATATACAAAAATATGGACAGTCCCCACATGACATAAACCAGTGTTTCTCAACCTCAGCAACTTTAAGCTGGGTGGACTTCAACTCCCAGAATTCCCCAGCCAGCATGGCTGGCTGGGGAATTCTGGGAGTTGAAGTCCACCCAGCTTAAAGTTGCTGAGGCTGAGAAACACTGACACAAACGTTTACTTATGTAAATCTGATTTTACAGCAAGAGACATGAGAACGGCTACCACCATTTGGTGCAAGAGCAAAATGGAGACTGACATGTTTGGGCATGCGGATGGCTTAGCTTCTAATCTGACATGCACAAAAATCCTAGAGTGGAACCTAATGTAATCTGGGGACTGCCCATAGTTGGATTAACTACATGCTTTTCTCTCTTCCCTGTGTTTGGCCGGCCAGCGCCACTGTTTGGAGCACTAGCTGGCAATGCACACTTCCCATTTCTAATTTAAGGGCATATGCCACCTCTTCTCCTTCCACTGACCCTTCAGAATATTGCTTGTTTCTCCAAATTCAGCGTGCAATTTCTGGGAATCTTTTTAGAAAGTCTTCCCAAAAGACCAGCCACAGGTAGGTGACTAAATGATGTATTTTGCAGCTCTTTCCTTGTTCTAATAGTACAGAACAAGTTTCTGTTTTTCTTAGAAAACAGTAAAGAGTAATTATGTTCCCACCATCTTCTGAACTGTTTATCAAACTTCTCATTTTTTTCTTGAAGCAACCCAAAGAAATGGATCCTAAGTTGCATGATGTTCGTTATACAGTTAAAGAAGCAGTTGGCACCTTATATTCTTCCAGAGATAGTACCCTAATCCAGAAGACTTTGTGGACAATCAGGAGGTACCTGGATCAATCTGAAAATCCACCCTCCATGAAAGAGAAGGAAGCATTTACTCGCAATTATTTTACTACCTTTGTTCAGTGTCTGCTCAGCAACTTGAGTCCTGATTGGCCAGAGCAATTTCCATCAGAGGAAGCCAAAGAACTGTGGGCTAGCTTTTTCATTGATGGACCAGCAGATCAATCTTTTATGGTTCTATTAGACACTATAATTTCTACAGAGTAAGTAAGATCTCTACTGCAGTCTACTTCTCTATAAGTATATAATTGTTTCAAAAGCTGCCTTCTTTGCCTAGAGGGCTAGACAAATAAAAGTTGTCGATAAGTTGTTATGGAACAAAACAAATTCCATAAACACTAGATAATAAAAATATTGTGCTTGTTAGCTAAACATTCAGTTGATGGCCATGTCCACATGAAATGTTAAGCCATGGTTTTTTTGGGTAAACTACATTTACCTGGTTCACGCTAGCTGTTCAGTCATAAACAATTACAGGTAGTCCTTATTTAGTGACCACAATTGGGATTGGCAACTTGGTCGTTAAGCGAAGCAATTGCTAAGTGAAACTTCCACTGTGCTTATGATCTTACTTCAGCTTTCCTTTGCTTTTTTTTTTTTTTTTATCTGCGCTCAGTCGTTACCGACTCTGCAGTGACTGCTTTGGACAAGTCCTTTGCAGTTTTCAAGGCAAGGTGTGTCGGGAGTGG